AGTTTAATTTATTTAAATATGATCATGTTTCATCTACTTTTATTTCCAATGCTTGTATGCCTAACAATGAGTTGGATCATGTTAAAGAACGCATATCATCTTTAGATTCTTATGGACTTATGTGCAAAGTCTCGTGTCAATTCCTTTAAATCCAACACTTACTATGCACATATTTATAGCAAAGTTTACAAGTGTTCAATTTGTGGTCGTAAAGGCCACTTATCTAAATTTTGCTATGATGCACATAAATATAAGAATACTAAAGCTCATTGTGCATCTCATCAAGTTTCTTCATCACATACACATGCACATACTCATCATGTTCATCATAAGCATGCTCATGTGTTTAAATGTGATTTTTGTGATCGAGTTGGTCATTTGGCCAAATTTTGTTTTGATTTAAATAGAGTTTCACATTTGCAAAATAATCTTAAAAGATCATCTTTATTTGCAAATGTTCCTCGTGCACATCCACATCTTAAAAGATCATCTTTATTTGCAAATGTTCCTCGTGCACATCCACATGGTCAACATAACCAAATGCATCCTCTTCATTGCACTTATTACAATCGAATGGGTCATTTGCATAATTATTGTTATGACCGGACCCATGCACTAAATGCGCCAAAATGGGTTCATAACCCAAGGGCTTTGAGCTTAAATGATAGGGGTCATGTCCCTAAATCTTTTGGTACCAAGAGTTCTTGGGTACCAAAACAAATTTGATTTTTAAACCAAGAATTTTAATGTTTTTTGTTTTCCTTCTCTTTCTTGGTTTTGAAAAATTATATTTTAAACTTTTGAACATGAAAACAATTCTTTTTCTTTGGTCAAATTCTTTTGTTTTCATGATTATTGATTTTATTTTTTTGATGAGAGGTTTGTATTTATATAACCCTCCGGAGTTATTGGGTGTTTATTCCCAAATCACGTTTACCGGATGCTAAAATGATTATATGGGTTGGAACAAGCTCAAGAGCTTGATATAATTGTTGCCTCTCTTAAAAAGTATGTTTTGATTTGTTGCTTTTGAATTCATTATAATTCACTTATATGATGATATTTATGTGTTTGTGCTAATGGATCATCTTGAAAACTTTTTACATGATTCTCATGTCTTCCTTCTTGTGATTTCATAAATCTTTTTTTATACATGGTTTTTATGTTTTTGATATGAGACAATATGTTCATCTTGATATATTTATATATGTTCTCATTATCTCTTGAATGTGAGTGATTCTTAGCATATTTTTTATGCTTGCTCACATGTTTGCCATGATCTTTTATTGCTTATATTTTATATGGCATTTTGATAGGGGAAGCAATCTCTATACTTGCTTCATACTCATCCATGCTTATTTGTAGGGGGAGCTTTCACTCTCTTAATTCTTTTGTCCCCTTTTTGATGTTGTCAAAGGGGGAGAAATATTGTGAGTATACATTTCCTTGTTTATATGCATGTGAATTATAATTTGTATATTCATTTCTTTTTATGCATATATCCTTTTTGTAAATTGTTTGTCATCATCAAAAAGGGGGAGATTGTTGGCTTTCTTATTTTGATGATGTTTAACAAACAATTTACTTCTAATATTGTTTGTCTAGTGTTTGTGTTTTTGTATTTATTCTAGGCAAACAACGAGTTGGAGGATGGATGGAATAGAGCTTCAACGATGATATCCAATGGAGGTTGGCGGAATGTCGGTGAAGCTTATGCAATTCAAAGTTAAAGATCAAGTTCAAGCTTCATCCGCAACGTGTACCAAGTCAAGCTTAATTGAAGATCAAGATTGCTTGGGTAATGTAGTTTTAGGTTTTATATTATGCGTGTTAGTACTTTAAGCTCAATCATATACACACATACACGCTTTGGTTTTGATTTTGTATATATACAGTTATATATATACATATATGTTTTTTGGTTTAATAGGTTTCGAGTTTATATATGAAACAAATGAATAGAATTGGAAATACTATTTTGTTTCATGTTTATGTGCCTATATATGATTTCGTCCTTAATATTTAATAAAATCATATTTAGTGTTTTGAAAATATTGCATAGAATATGCAATTTTGTGAAATTTCTGTATTCTTAGTTTTTGGACTTAACAATAATCATATACATATTTTATTAAGTCTATATAATCATTGTGCAAAGTTTCAAAACATGATTTAGCCAAAATATCAAATTTCACATGTTTACATTTTCGTGTTTTGAACTATTTTGCAAAATGATGATTTTTCACTAATGGGAAATGCAATTTGGAAAATTCTTTTTGTAACATGTTCACTTACATGTTTATATATTTTTTTCAAAGTTTCATAATTTTTGGACTTTATTTGTTATTTTTAACACATTTTTAAAAGTCTCAAAAATAGCTTTAAAAACCAGTTTTTGAATATGTCAGTTTTCGGTCGACTGAACCGGTCGACCGAACCTGAGTTCATATGCTCACTGGGCGACAGAGAGTCTGTCGGTCGATCGGTCCGGTCGACCGATAAAATTTCCGGTCGACCGATGAATTCTCCGGTCGACCGACGAGAGCTTTTTCAGCTTCCAACGGCTAGTTTTCTTATCGTTGCTGGGGCTGTTTCTGTCTTTTTGCTTGGGGTTTTGGCTGAGTTGTGAGAGGGTATAAATACTCCATTGCCTTCAACTCTCAAGCTAATCCAAGAAGTTTTTTAACAAGGGTTTTAAAAAGGGTTTAAGCTTATTTTAAGCTTGTTTAAGAGTTTGGTTTGTAAAGATAATTTCACAAGGGCTTGAGGAGATAATCTTTGGTGTTTGGGCTTCAAATCATCTCTCTCTCACTCTTGTTATTTATTGGAGAAGTTTTTCTAAACTCAATCTATCTTTACATTTTATTGTTTGAATTATCATTTTATTAAGCTAGTGTTTATATTGAGTTTAGTTAATTTTATTTATCTCTTTGTTCACACACAACCTATTGAGCTTATTGTATTTACATTCATAGTATAATTTAGGGTTGTGGGTTTGTAACATTGAGAGTGAGCTTAATTGAGTTCTCACCTTGTTTAGAGAACAATCAATTGATTTATATTGTGCCTAATTGTGATGATTCACTTGTAATACACTTGTACACCGAGAGAAATGTATGGTGACAGACGGGGTCGAATCCAAGAGGAGTGGCGTCGGTTGACGTGCCTAGGGAGAGGTTATAACCGAGCACTTGAGGAGGAGGACACGGGCTAGGACCAACACTTAGTGTGTGAGGTGTGATTGCATAGTGATTGTATTGTGAGGTGTAAACGTTGTTCGGGTGAACGTAGAAAACCTGGTTGTGATAGTGGAGATCTCCTCGAGGTGAGGAGCGGAGACGTAGGTCGTGGGGACCGAACTCCGTAATCATATTGTTTGTTTGTGATTGCATTGGCGCACTTACTTTTATGTTCATATCTTATATCGCCTTTGTATATTGCTTGTTGATTATATTGCCCACTATCTAGTTTAGATTGTTTACCCTTGAGATTATATATCCTTGCATATATTTCACTATATACCTCTTTGCTAGGATATATCATATTGTATATTGCTTATCCTAGTTCATATATATTGTTGCATTTCATACTTGCTAGGATAACTTGTTAATTAGTTTTAATTGGCATAAAATCGGATTAGATTAGCATAAGACCCTAATCACCCCCCTCTAGGGTCTAACATTAGCAACCCGTCTCGCCTTTCAAGCGAGCAAGAGATCCATCACGGTTTAACTTTACAGTGTAAACCCACTTTGTAGTCAATGGTTTTCTTTCCTAGAGGAAGAGTAACCAACCCCCATATATCAGTTCGCTCAAGGGCTGCCATCTCATCCTGCATCGCCTCAGTCCAACCTGAAATAGATAGAGCTTCTAACATACTAACATAGTTTTGGGAACAGATTGAGAATCCAAAGAGAAGATAAAAGATTGATATGAAGATGATAAGTGAGAGTAAGAGCAAAGTCAGAAATCAGATGTCCACTGCAATATCCTTTATCATTGCGATGAGCAATTGAGAGATCATCAGTAGTACTATTACTAGGTAATTGATCGGTAATATTCCCACTAATCAGGACTTGGAACAGAAGCTGGTGCTAGCACAGAAGGAAGAGCACAACAATGTGTATAAACTTGAAGAACTTTCTCTAATGTTGGTCAGCTGGTGGTTTTGAGTCAGACACCACATCAGAATCGGACTGACCATTGATGATCTGTGCCTCACGAATAACCAAGTAGTCATAATCATCCTTACAGGGAGAAGGGGAACGTGTCGTGTGTCCAGATTGAGATTCAAAGAAAGTGACATGTGCAACTAGAACATAGCAACATAAAGATGGACGATAACACCTATATCCCTTTTGAGTGAAAAATTAACCCAGAAGTTACATTTAAGGAATGTGAATCTAGTTTGGTTTTCTAGGGGCTGTGGCTGTGGAACACAGAACCGAAAACTTTAGATGGAAAACTCAGGTCAACTATGAGGGTGTAAAACTGAGTATGGAACTTTGTTGTCTAGTTTCGAAGAAGGCGTACGACTTATCAAGTAACGTGTAGTCAAAATGGCATCCCCCAAAATTCTTTCAAAACATGTCTATGAAACAATAGAGTGTGAACAATATCTAGCAAATGTCGATTTTTACGTCGGGAAGAGCAGAGATGGCTTGGTTTACACACTCTCACAACAAAAAACATACTCTGTGTTTGTAAAAATATAAAATAGTAGATTACCATCAATAGTCCCTGTTCCAATTTTATGAGAGTGGAGTGCTCCTAGGCATGTCAAATATTTATCTTGGTTGACTAGATGTTACGTTGTTTTTATGTTTGCGTGTGTGTACCTGGTATGCTAAATAATCAGAGGCATCCTTTATCATGTATGTGTATGGCAGTTAAACTATTTAAAAATACAACACCGCTAATCATAACACACACCTTAATCATGCATCTACCGTAAGTCAGCAGGTTTCAACATTTAATCTGAGGTCTAAACATGCATGTACCTGGTCATATACCATAAATAATCAGAGGTGTCCTTTGTCATATTTAAATGCTCTAATATACCCTGTGAAGTGAAATTATTAGCACTCCACGCACCAATCGACTCTTTGAAGGTCATCCAGTTCTTCACATCATGAAATCCTCCCATCTTTGGCGACAAGTGCCCAGGTCCTGCAGTGTATGGATAGGCAGGGGAACCAATTTCCACTTGTTTTATTGAAGTCTGAGCACCTACCTGATATGAAGAAAGGAACTCAGAGACAAGATATAGAGCTAGAATTTCTCTACTGTCATATATATAAAAATTACTTGCCGTACTTCAAGGTAGATTAGTGACTTTAATAGAAACACACATCAATTAACAAGCTATGTTTACTTTTATTAATTAATTATTATTATTATTATTTTGTTTTTTTTTCAATCCTCAAACGCAAATTCATATATGTCACATCTACACCGATAAGCTTGAAAATTCATTTTAATGGTATTTAAGCAACAGATACTTTTGCAGATACACTGAATCACATGTATTGAACTTGTGCAAAAATCTTAATAATCTGTTGGTAATAGGTGAGAAGCTTTTCCCTTTCAATGGAGAAATTTTGCTCAATTAATTATCAAGTATATGTTATGGTGTTGATTGTTATATAATCCTGCACTTACAAGAAATTAGCATTTTCAGTAACGCCATTCTAGAGAACTGCATTTTCTGAGTCCATTGATACTCAGGATATTTTGTACATTTCTACTTCTGCTTTGCACTATTTTCAGATGATTTCAGTAAATGCCACTAGATTGACTAGGAAATGAGGAAGTTACAAAAAGAAACCAAGCTTTTCTTTTCATCATCAGACTTGTTTGCCATAAGTACAAGCCCCAAGGTAGCTGGAGGCCAACTTAACTTGAGAAAATAAAAAAATATTGATCAAATCTAGAACCAGCTGTCATTTAATCAAGTTGCCACGTTCCTGGATGCGAAATCTATGGAAATACAGGTTACTCGGATATATTACCTACTGCTGTGAAATTGTCATTTACGTAATTCAATTGAAAAAGTTAGCATCACCTTTGCAGTATTGAAAGCCACATTTTTACAATCCGGCAATATGCTTACTGACCAGGGTGGTAGCGTATAAACTTCACCAAATATTTTCACCGCAACTGATCTGTGCTCATCGATGTTAGCAAGAAAAGCAGAGCAGATACTTATATTTATGGGCAGGCTCGAATTGGTGTCGACATGGCCATTGGAATAAATGTGTGCCTGTAGATACAACCGCAACCTATCCTTATCTCAGAAACAATGGATGAAGAATAAGCTAATTGGAACAATAGCAGAGCACAAGACTATCAGAATTGAAAGCTAAAGAAATCATGCCACACTGACTGGTTATATGAAAAAGATTAATCCATGTCTGGGAGTGTCAAGGGAGCAGTTTGAAATGTGTACGCAGATGTCCTGATTGTTATCTGTTACCCAAATCTGCTACTATATTCAAACAATATATGCAAATTGTATCAGCAACCATAACAGATTTATCCGAATTTGCACAAACTATGAATCCATAGGGGTGGGCAATGGTCCATGCTGGCTCGTCCTGCGGGCCGGCCCATGCGGGCTCAATGGTGAGGTGAGCCAACCCACGACTCGCAGTGAGTTGAGCAAGCCTTGTTTTAGGGGTGCATTCGGTCCGGATACGGCTCGGATATGATGCTTATCATATCCATATACGCTTACCTATCTCGGATACGGATACGGATATACCTCGGTAAGAAAAATTTATAACCATATCCGTTAAAATCGGATACGGTTACGGATATACATGCGAATATATAAGCGGATATGCATGCTGATACAAAACAAATATGAGAAAACTAGATAGTATTGAGAAAAACATAGTTCATGTGATACAAAAGAGTTTGTTAATATGTCCATTATAATTGAAAAGTTAAGATTAGACATCTTGATCATCAAAATTAACCACAAATCCATAATCTAAGAATCGAAACTATCGTAAGAGTATGACTAATATGTATTCGGATATTTCGGATACGGATACGGATATTTCACTACAAAACCATATCCGTAACCATATCCTATCGGTTGTAGATTTGAGTAACCATATTCGTATCCTCACGGATACGATTACGGATATTTCCTCGGATACGGATACGGTTTAGCACCCCTACTTGTTTTGCCACTTGTTCCCGGGCCTAGAGTTCAGCCCAACGGGCTCGACAACATGCGGGATGAGTCATGACACGGGTCGACCCATTTGGCCCACTTAACTATTTTTTGTTATGTTTAATATTTAATTGTTTTAATAGGTTTTTTAAAATAGTGTTTAACACTTAAGAATTATATGTAAATAGAAAATTAACAACGACATGATTACAAAAATTAAAACAAATAATTTTATTAAGTAAAATTGTATATTTGCATATAATTACAGAGAGAACCATCACAAACACGGAGATTTAACGAAAATCAGAGCAAGTTTTACATCAATGAGTAGCATAATATTGTTCCACCCAGCCCAAGAGCGAGCCAGGCCAAGCCGAGCTCAAGAGCGAGCGGGTTTGTGGGCCTACCCAGCCTAGTGCCCACCCTTATGAATACACCAATATTTAATGCTATAAGAATTTTATATTTGGAAAAGCAACTAGAAACTTTATATGAACACATTAGGATTGATACAATATCAAATAAAAGGTGTAGGCTTAACTGCATACATGCTTATATATTTTAAT